GAGACTAAAAGAGAAAATACTCTGAAATGCTATGCTTTCTATATAAGATACCACACGTCTCTCTCGCAACTAGAGAGATAGCAGAATCTATCTAAAGAACAGAAGCAAGCAGCCATCAACCGAAGGGGAGTTTCAGCCCAGAGTCTGGACACTTGTAGCAATCTATGACATTCAGGGTAGGATAGCCAATGAGCAACTATGAGAGATCTTGAGGGCCATTTGCCAAGGGTGTTTCTGTAGGCCTGGGCCCCATGACCACAGCTGTGAGAAGGTCTTGAAAAATGACATCATTGGAAGGCGGCATCCCAGCTGCTCACAGAGATGGAAGTTGAAGATTCACCCTCAGCACTATCTTGTTACACAGCCCAGGCTGGCCTTGACCTCTAAATTTTGCTTCTCCTCTTTCCTGAGAGTTGTGATTATAAGAATTCACTACCATGCCAGGCTCAGGACTGTTGGTGATGGTGAATGTGTGTGTGTGTGTGTGTGTGTGTGTGCGCGCGCGCGCGCGCGTGCGCGCACGTGTGTGTGTGTGTGGGGGGTGTATGTTCTCATGTGCATGCATGAGAACACCAGAAGATGTCATGTCCCATTAACTATATCATTCTCTACCTTTTTCCCTGGAGGGAATGTCTTTCAGCGAACTGGAGCTATGTGGACAGGCAGCAAGTCCCAGTGATCCTCCTGTCCTACCCTACAACATGAGGATTATATTACTGGTATATGCACCCATGCCAAGATATTTATGTGGGTGCTGTGGAATCAAACTCAGGTTCTCATGCATGCACAGCAAATGCTTTTACTGATCTATGTACCCACTACTCATGTCTCCACTTGAACTCTCTCTCTCTCCTGTCATCTCAGATTGGCTCTTCGTGTTGATTTACCCTAATTTCTGTTATTGTTGATTTGAAACAGGATCTTGTTCTATAAACCAGGCTGGGCTTTGACTCACAGCCTCATTCTCCTGCCGCAGCCAGGCTCTACGTTTTTAGAAAAGAATATTCTTGGCTTTCATGGTAGCTTCTTCACAGATCCTTTGGCTTCATGGTTCCTTGCTCCGACCTTGACTCCTCATGCAGCACAAGCTCAAAGATGTAGCCGGGGTATCTGGAGTTGACAGCCTTGACTACGCTACCAGATGCCTCCCCTCCTTTCTTCTGATTCTCTGATTATGCTTCAACTCCATGACAGAGGCACTGTGAGCATTAATTAAGATGACACATAGGCAAGTGTTTTGTAAACTATGAAGTTTTATATCAATATAAATAGAAGGTGACATTTTTTTAATCTAGCAGCCAATTAGCTTTCTTGGCACTGTTGGTCTACGGCAATTAGAACACTCAGTCAGGCACGTTCAAGTTCAGGGAGGCTCTGACGCATGGAGGGAAAATGCTTTGAGATATGGTTACATAAAAACACTGCATAAGATGAAATGATGGGGGTCCTGACTTTCCCTTCTGCCTGTGTATTGGGAGTCAGCACAACCATACCGCTAAGTGTGTTGAACATATTTCAGAACTGCTTAGCCTCAGCCACGATCAATAATGAACAGATTGATCAGCTGAATCAGTTGTTGAGCAGTATTTCCCCCTAAAAACTATCCAGACATACGCAACAAAATAAGATGAAAGGACATGATTATTTTTAAAAAGAAATATACTAGAAAGTATTTCTCCTACTATCACTCAAATCCACATGCATTGGCACACGTGTGGACATGTGGCTACATATATGAACACACACAGCGTGCATGTGTGCATCTTCATATATAATTAGATATTCAGGGTTTCGAAAAATAGCCTGGAACAAGATGCTTTTATCATTTGCAGTAGTATTATAGGAATCGAGTGGATCAAACCCTATTTCCCAAGAAAATCAAAAGTGTGTGTGTGTGTGTGTGTGTGTGTGTGAGAGAGAGAGAGAGAGAGAGAGAGAGAGAGAGAGTTTGTATGAGTGAATCTGTGTATGTCTTAATGTTTGTGGATCTGTCTGTCTGTCTCTGTGTATATGTATTTCTGTCTGTATGTCTCTCTGTGTGCCTTTGTATATCTGTGTGTCTACATGTGTTTGTGTGTATAATTGTATGTATGCCTGTGTGTTTGTATGCATGTGTCTATGTTTGTGTTTATGTGTGTACATGTTTGTTCATGTGTGTGCGCAGGTACGTGTGTGTGTGTGTGTGTGTGTGTGTAAAGAGCAGAGGATAACCTTGGTTATCTTCCCTCAGGTGATATCCACATTGTTTTCTTTTGAGAAAGGTTCTCTTACCATCCTGGATCTAGACAAGCAGGCTACTGTGATTGGCCAGTAAATATGAGGTATCTCCTTATCTCCACCTCCCCTGTTTGAGAATAACTAGCAAGTGTCACCACCTAATTGTTTATTTCTCTGAGAATTTCTACCATGTGTTTAGATTATACTTGCCCCTTCCCCCACTCCTGCTGATTCACCACTAGTCCCTGAACACCCAACTCTGTCCCGTCCCCTTTTCAAAATTACCCATCAGCTCCAATTTGTGCTGCCCATATATTCTTTTTTTATTGCTTTTCATTGAGCTCTACATGTTTCTCTGCTCCCCTCTCTGCCTCTCCTCTCCCCCATTCAACCCTCCCCCAAGGTCCCCATGCTCCCAATTTTCTCAGGACCTCTTGTCTTTTTCTACTTTCTACTTCCCATGTAGATTAGATCTATGTAAGTCTCTCTTAGTGTCCTCAGTGTTCTTGAATGTGTGGTCTTCCACCGGACCATGGTGAACTCACCAGAGGCTACAATCTTAAAGCAAGCTCTCTCGGCAGCTATCAATTGCCAGTAGCTAGTGGTGGGATGGGCATTTGGTCAGGCTTGAATTTGCTTATTGGCATGATCTCAGAATATTATTCTTTGGGGCCTAAGATATTCGGAGTGGATTTACGGCAATTAACAGGATCAACAACAGCACATCAATTTATGCTGTTCCAGCAAGCTTTAAGACAAAAGTTAATTATTCAATTGTACCTTGTAGTGATATTTCATTTGTATTTTAATAAATAAAACTTGCCTGAAGATCAGAGAATAAAACAGCCACACTGATCAGCCTTACAGACCAGGCAGTGGTGACATACACCTTTAATCCCAGTAGCCACACTAGTTTGCCATAGAAACCAGGTGGTAGTGGTGCACGCCTTTAATCCCAGTAGTAGAAAGAAATATAAGATGGGAGGAGACAAGCTTCAGACACAGTCTCATTCTGAGATTCCTGGAGGCAGGATCTCCATTTCAGACTGAGGTAGAGGTAAGAGCCAGTGATGGCTGTTTTACTTTTCTGATCTTCAAGTTGAACCCCAATATGTCTCTGGGTTTTTATTAATCAAACTACAGTCCCTTGCTTAAATTTATGTCTTCCAAATTTAGTATCAAAATATTTGCATCAATTTATATCTAAATGGTCATGTTTCCATCAGGTGCTCTTAAAGGAACAAATAAATCTAAATAGCACACCAATGGGAAGGGCAGAACAAGTTCATTTATTGTATCCTTCATTGTAACCATTCATTAGGATTTAACTACAGAATGGGTAATTTGTAGCTAGCTACATTTTAAGGTGTATTAAATATTTTCAAATATAGCTTAGAGATTTCTGGGGAATCTGCGCACATGCAAGGAGATCACAAAAAGAAAGCTTCTTTCATTACAATGCAGAGATATTACCTGCCTGTGTCTCTGTGTGGGCATTCGCATTGCTGCTATCTGTCACAGGGTAGTGGAGGAGACCCTGGGGCCTCAGCATCAACTATGACCGGGCACTGGAGCACAGCAATGATCACCAAGGGTTTCCCACTATGCACCAAAAGTTTTGTTTCTGGTTCTCATTTGGTTTTATTTGATTGCTTGATGGGAAAAAAATGGCCAGAGACCTAAGCAGCATGAGAGGACAGTTATCTACAAGGAAAGCACTGTGACCTGTGGGAGTTCAAGCCACTAGCTGCTTTGCTCATAAAATTCCAACCGTTTTCTGCTAGAATAGCTCCCTAAAATGCTAGCCAGGCAGACTCTGTTGGAGGAGAGAGGTGGGAGGCTGTCAACTCCTAGAATCACAGCTGATGATGTCACAAATAACAAAACCCAAGTCCCAGTGCCTTTGAGTTTGTGTGATAGTAGTAATTTGATATTTTGATGTTGTGCAATGAATTGTGTTAATATTCAAAAGAGCCTCTAATCTCAGCAAGCCAGACATCTGCAAATGCTGATCCAATCAGGAGATGGCGTGTGGGTGAAACACTCATCCAAGGGTGTGATGTATCTTAAGAGAGCGAACTGAAAACACTCAGTGATGTGGCACCCATATCTCCATGGCAACACACACTTATACCACTGCAGAGGTTTAATTTTCTGCACAGTCATGCACACGCTCAGGTGCTTTATGGCTTATGTGTTCTGTCTTTTGTGCTTGTCTGATGACGGCCTCTCCTGCAGGGAAAAGCCCCTCAAAGGAAAGCTCATGTTTCAGTCAAAATCACATCACTGCTCAGGGAAGGGGGCCCAGCACGGCTCAGATGCTTCCTAAGTGAGGAAGGATTGCGCGATCCCAGAAGAGGGCCTTCTCTCATTTAGTGCCACTCTGTTTTATTGAGGATTTGTAATTATTTAAAAAAAAAATAAAATGGGAGCAGGGAAGTATTTATCTTAATTAAGGGAGCCATTTGAGGATTGGCAAGAGACTGGACTCTAGAGGGGTTCCCAGGTGTCCAAGGAGATGTCCCCAGCTTGTTCCTTGAGCAACTGAGGAGAGGGAGCCCGAACTGGCCCTATCCTATAGCCACACTGATGAATATCTTACATATCACCATAGAACCTTCATCTGGCGATGGATGGAGATAGAGACAGAGACTCACATTGGAGCACTGGACTGAGCTCCCAACTCTACCCAGATTCTGAGATGGTCCCATCCCAAGAGCTGGTCTCATTGCAAAGCCAGACTCAGAAAGGAGCTGTGTGGGACAGGTTGGGGGCGGGGTTACCTTTCACGGTCACGTGGACACTCTGGCTCGTGGAGAGCTGTGGCTGTACCAGCACATTACAGGTGTACTCCCCCTCGTCCACTTCTTTCTGGACATCTGAGAGTTTCAGAGTCCCGTTGTTCTCAAATGCCACCTGGCGGTGGTTGAAAGGAAGCAGATTAGCGTTCTTGTACCACTTGATGGAGTAATAAGGGTAGCCAATCACGCGGCAGTGGATGTATGTGTCCCGCCCTGCTATTGCAGTGATGTTTTTCATCGGTCTGATGCTTGCAGGCCCTGGAGAGACACAAGGAAACTCTTGAAAATAATTTAAGGGCACATGTCATGGAAGGAAATGGGTACACCTTTCCTTTGGTGAAAACCAATTATTTTTATGTAAGCACACTTTTTTTTTTTTGTCTCAGTTTCTTGGCATTTGGCATTTTCTACTAAAAAGTTTTTTTTTTCCTTTTACAATTCTCAAAATGAGTCAATGAATGCTAAAATCTTTTCATCAGCTACTTCTATGAAAATATTTTGAATTACAAGATAAAAGACAGTTTAACTAATAAAAGGTAACTAGTCTACACTTCACGGCCAGCTCTTCTGGTGAGAACGCTAACAGCTATCGATCGACTCTGTCAGGTGGATCATGAAGATGGAGGTTATGCCGCTGCGCTATGGATGTGAGTTAGGTACTGTGGATGGAAGGCTTACCATGGATGTCATGAGACAGGAGAAAAGGAAAGAGGAAAGGGCATGCAGAGCATAAACCAGAAAAGGAAAGATCAAGTGGATAGGTGGAAGAGGACAGAAAGTAGACAAGCTGACTACAGAGACCAAAATGCCATTTTCAACACCGGCCGACCAGCGCCATTCCTGAGGAGGGGGCAGGGAGAAGGAGGGACGGCTCCTCCATCCGCATTGCAAGGCTCAGCCTGGAGCATGCAGCACCCATCCCCGCTACAATGAGTCGTGTGTGTTTGTTCGAGGAGCTGATTTGACAAGCACCTCTTACGTTTATTCGAGCCTGGTACAGGACGACTCCGGCCGAGTTGTTGGCGGTGCAGCGGTAGACGCCCCCGTCCCGGACCTGGGAGCTGGAGATGTTCAGGTAGCTGACCACATTCCCCTCAGATGTGATCATTTGGCTGATGCGGTGGCCGCTGCCCTTGAGGATGGGGTCATCATCCAGGGTCCAAGTGACCGTGGGCAAGGGCGTTCCCTTCACATTGCACACGAGGGACACTGGCTCTGCAGGGCTCACCACTTTCTCGCTAAAGGCAGAAATGATTTTGGGAGTTCCGTCTGCAGGGAGACAAAACAAGAAAGGAAGTGGCGCATACATATGGCAAACTGCTACCAAGTAAATTGTTTACTGCTTGGGAGAAAGCTGAGTGGTTGGTCAGTACCTTCCCAATGGGCCCTGCTCTAGGGAAACATCAGCTTCCACAGGACCTGTGTACATGTACTAGCGTACATGCAGTGTACCGAATACCTGCACGTGTGTATCTCTAAAACACTTTCTTCCATGTGGTTCCCTTTATACTTTTGTCTTTAGCATTTCTGTGTTCTGTCTCAAAATCAGGACACAATTCTATATTCCTTTATGATTTAAAATTATACATTCAAGTTTAAAATGTATATCAAAACATTGTTGAGTTCCTTACTCACTTGAAGATACACTTATTCACATGGCTGTTGCTAGTTGTTGACAATATTTCCTTTACCTGTTGAATATCCTGTATCCTTGTAAAGTTCAATTGACAAACCATGGGTAGACACATCTCGAGATCACATGCTCCACAGTGGGGCTTCAAAACCAGAAGGGAGGAATCCTCCAGCTTGGCTCTCTTTCCAAGCTTGTGCAGCTTTTAGTCCTTCAACCTCTTATGTTTACATTGTAAATCAACTTATTATAAGATCCCCACTTTTCCATATCAATTTTAAATTCATTAGATAGATAGAAGATAGATAGATGATAGATAGATAGATAGATGATGCGGGGGTGGGGGGGGATAAGGTCTCACTATGTAGCCAAGGCAGTCCAAAACCCATGATCTTCCTGCCTCAGCCTCCCAAGTGCTGGTTTATCTTAGGTGTTCATTCTTTATAGACTTTATGTTTTGCTTTAAATCACCAAATATATTTCAATTAATGGACTGACATTCCTTGTCCACTAATCCTAACACATTGGGTATTAGTCCTGGACGATGAAAGCACTTTGCTTTCCTTCTAGTTCAGCACCACTGGACTGAGAGGTGTCCTTAAAAACATATTGAGTTGATTCAGCCATGATACTGTCCCTGTCCCTTCCTCCCAGCGACGTTTGTTCTGGAGTCTTCTCACTTTTCTACATGTCTTTTTCTATTGTTTGCTTTTGTTTGTCAACTGGTGTTGCTTTCTTTTTAACGTCTCTAGTGGTTTTAAGCTTTAGAATTTGATTCCCATCCACATGGCAGTATATGGGTTTACCAAGTTTTCTAAGGCGGCTTATGTAATGATTTGGGGGTTTTACTCTGATATTTTTCCTTCTTGTGCACTCTGCCCCACTCCTCCATGTGTGGGTGCCTAGTCCCTTTTAGCTCTGTAGGCTTTGGCACTTTGCTTTCCTTCTAGTTCAGCACCACTGGACTGAGAGGTGTCCTTAAAAAAATATTGAGTTGATTCAGCCATGATACTGTCCCTGTCCCTTCCTCCCAGCGACGTTTGTTCTGGAGTCTTCTCACTTTTCTACATGCTGTTTGCCCATCCTAAGTGCCATTTTCATGGACACAAAAGCTGGCTTTATAGTTGCTACTTCTTCACTCCTAGAATGTGAACCGCTTATCTCTTATTTTTGTTGTGTTTCCTGGTTATTCTGGTTCAACAACAAACCCACCATTACAGGTTCAAGGATTTCAGCCTCCTGGCGAAGGCTCCATTCACTGTCATGGGGAGTCCACTGTATGCTGAGATTATTATAACTTTATCTTAATCTACTTCTTACAGTGGGGACCATGGGAGGTCCCAAGAGAATGCTGTCAAGCGCTCTCAGGTTCTAGATATGCATTCTTTCTTTCGTGACATTAGCACTATCGCCTTTTCAAAAAGAGGAAAGTGAAATGAATCCTCTCATCCTCAAAGGAAACTGACACAAGATAAATAAGTTGGGGAGAGTTCTCTGAGCCCCACACCCACCTTCTATCAGAGTGACTGCCTTTGTGAAGATGAAGGCAGACATTATTTTCCCAGTGGAACCCGAGAGTCTTTGTAATCTGCTTAGCTGTCACTCTGATAACGGGAACCCTTTTGATATCATTGTGGATGATCAATATGCTCCTTTAGGTTTTCTTAGTTACTTGAGACAGTTACCAAGGTAACAGGTCCTGGACAGATAATCTCTTCTTTTTCCTTATCAGAGAAGCTAAAAATAGTGACTTTGGGAGGACCGGGGTGCATCCTGACTGGCAGTTCCAACTCCAAGCAAATTGATTACGTTTTGCTCTTAATTATTATGTGTGAAGTGTGTCAGGCATTTAACACAAGGGCTGTGCCTTCAAGTCATTTCACCTCTGCATCATAAACCTCACTGTCAGCAGTGGTGCTTGGATCATCATTGCTAAGCTTGCTGATTCCTACAAAGTAGCTAAGGTTAAAGGCACAATAATGGAACCCTTCTCTCAGCATCAGACAGATTTAAACTTACTCACATGTGATAATGGGTTTTACTTATTCTATCCTTGGGCTATAGAAAAATAATTTCATCACTTTCACCAGTTGATAATGAATGGATTTTAAATGAGAGCTAACGACACAATTCCCATCAAGACACACAAGTACATAGACAGGAGCCATTTCAATTATGAGGTGATAAATATATACCATGCTTAAATGTCACCTGTCACAGCTCCATTCCCTGGATGATGGATGAGCTTGAAGAACTCAGTAACCAATTAAGAAAAGCAAACAGAGCCCATGTTATTCTACCCCAAGGCAATTCCTCACAACTAAATCTGGGGACATATTGACCAGGCTACAGACAATGCCACCAACCAGAGGTCACATTTTCAAACAAACATCCTACTGAAATTGAGGTTATTACTGACATTAACTTTTTCTCAAGTGTGGGATAGTCCTGTCCATGCTTCACAGCTCAGGGAAGATTTGTCTGTATCTGGAAATGTCTCTCTCTCTCTCTCTCTCTCTCTCTCTCTCTCTCTCTCTCTGTGTGTGTGTGTGTGTGTGTGGTCACAACTTGGAGGAGGAACTGTTGGAATCAAAAGTGTTGAGGCCAGAAATGCCCCTAAACACTACACAATGTACTGATCAGGTAGACTCTAAACAAACATGCTATTTATGCATCCCTCAGGCCCCAAACAAGGTGTTACTAAAACCATGCATCTGAAGGATAACAAATTGGACAACAGTTGACCCAAGGCTCTAGTTTCAAATGTTGATCTTTCGGCAAGTAACTTCAAACACTGAGTGGGAAGCATTCATCTTCCAGGTCATGCTTCTCATTCAACACTGTGCCATCTCCCTTATCAGAGCACTGTCTCTCCCTTGCTTGATCTAGTGAGCTCAGAGTTAATAGAAGTAAAGAAAGGTAGTGTGGCTGGTCTTCCCCTACGAGTGGTGTTGCATGACCCTCTCCCCACCCCACGCTCCACTGGCTTCTGTTTGGGGTGCACCCTCCAATGGTGCCCACTGACCTTCAAGGACCACCTGGACATAGTCTTGAGCAGACAGCTTGTCGTTGCGCACAAAGCACTGGTAGGCACCCCCGTCACTCTTGACCATGTGATCCATTATAAGGTTTGCGTGGTTCAGCCCTGTGATCCTCACGTTTTTCCCAGGATTGAGGATTTCGCCATTTCGGTACCAGGAGAGTTCCTGGTCCTCATTTCCTGTCACGCTGCAGGACAAAGAGACCTGGCTGCCCACGCTGCTTTTAACCTTCCTGGGACTGATGGTGGCTTTCAGAGGCTCTGGGGAGTAGGAGAGGAAGAAAGAAAGAATAAAACATCACTGGGTATTGACTACTTAATAACACTCTGGGCTTTGGCTGAGACCAAGGTGTAACTGCCAGGTACTTCATCAGTTATTTGGGGGTGCCCATGTAGTGTTACTTTGGGGACCACATGAGCGTTATTTGGGGCACCACTCTGTTTGGATAGTCCTTTATATTTTTAATGGTCCTCTTTTTTCATATATACCAAGTAGCACAGCATTGGTTACACTTCTTCCTCAAAGCACATGAGATCGTTTTGATCCACGCATACTAAGAAATGCAATATGCTACTTACCCACAGGTTCATGAGTATGAAAATATAAACCCTGCTGGCTTTGTTCCAAGGGAACACTGATGGTGTTGCCTTAGTCCACTCCCACATTTGGGCCAGAAGAAGAAATAGTTACTTATAGAGTTGATATCTTTTAACCAAATTCACTGGAAATACGATTAGAGCCAATAAGCTTCATCTACCAGTCCCTAGTATTTCCAACGTTCACTCTTTTAGAGTACAAATCTTCAGCTATCAGAGTGTGTGGATTGACCAAGCCAGCAGAATGAGTGTTACAGCCAGAGTGACAAAACTGATGTTCAGAAAGGACCAGGAAATCCTCAGGTGGCAAGGATGGCTAGATCCGGGTCCAGAGAGCAGAAAGGGGGTTTCAGAGTGCACGGAGCACAGGTAAGGCAGTGTCTGTTTCAGTCTGGATACAGCAGAAATTCTTGGAAGTATAAAGGTGGGAGGCAAACTGCAAATAGGTTTATAAAGGGGCCTCAAGATTCTAAAACAATTTTAATGTGTATGGATATTTTACTTGCATGTATGTCAGTGTATCACATGCAAACATAGTGTCCGTGAGGTCAGACAAGGGTGCTAGATCCCCTGGAACCGGAATTACTGACGGTTGTGAGCTGTCATGTGTACTTGGAATCGAGCCCAGGGCTTTGGAAAGACTTGCTAGTGCCCATAACTGTTGAGCTATTGCCCTAACCCCATGGAATAATGTAGTCCCAGATATTCAGGAGGCCATGGAAATATGATCACAAATTTAAGGCTAGCCTGATCAATTTAGTGAAATCCTGCCTCAAAAAAACAATATTTAATAGCAAGTTTGGGAGCACAGTTCACTGGAAAAAGCCTGTGTTCAAACTCCAGTACTACAAACAAATAAAGAACTATTGAAGACGGTTAACTAAGTAGATGGCACCATCAAATATCTTCAGAGAAGATTTGAGGATTCGCATGATGGTGGACATTGGGTGGAGGAAGGCAGTCACCAAGGAGACATTAAAAAGCCTCCTAGAGGAACAGACGGCAGCTGAGAAGAATCAGTATCCATGACGTGACCTAGCTTAGACAATGAAATGAAGCCTTGAGAAGACACAAGCCTAGAAGTTTTTCCACAGGAACGAGAGGGGAAGATGTTCCTAAGAAGGAGGTCTGTTTGGGAAGCAGAGTTTGTGGTGACTCCATTCTGGCCTTGTTCAACTTTCTGTTGAAATGCCAAGCACCTTGCATAAAGCTTATGTTGCTATCTGTCACCTAAGAAGAAGTCAGCTCTACTTATGGACCTGGAACCTAATAGAATGCCTGTTCTTCCATCAAGAGCAAAGGGTCAGGAGGGAAGATGTGATATTCTGCAGGTTGAATGAGACTTCCAGAGGAAGAAGAGCATGGTGAGAAGGTCCAAAGGACTTCTCTGGATGTGGCACAGGATTGCAATTATAAAAGCCAACCTATTAGGAACCTATAATTTTCCACTGACACCTTTGAAAAAGTAGCCAGTGGTAAACGTCTTAAGAGAGAGAAAGCGAGATAATGCTGGGAGTCAGCGTGATGGCAGGAGGGGAGCATGTCTGGGGATGATGCTTTAGGCTGCAGGAAGGAAGGCGGGAGGTTTGTACACACCAGAGATAGGAGAATGAGTCCACTAGAGAGAGCAGCACAAGCAGGGTCACTTGCATGCTGACACAAAGGGATCTAACAATCTGAAGGATTTTAGATTCATCAGGATATATTAAAGCAAAAAAATAGAACGCATGTCCAGAGTCTCAATGAGACACGCTGCACTCTACCCTAAGATATAAGGTTACTTCAGGAACAACAGAGGACCACATTACCATGGGAGCATTTGGAGTCTATGGTCCAACCTCTGGTGGCTGTCTGATACTGAATTGGTTCATGTAGGTGAGACTTAGCTCTTTAACCAGGAAAAGACAGCTGTGGGGGACACTCTTCCATGGCCAGCCAGCCTTAGACTGAGCTTGAGGACTCTGGAAGCATAGCCGGTTCTAGGTATCACATCATTCAAGTCTCTGATTTAAACATATACACAGTTACTATGATGGCATGTGGGCTGCATACGTCGATTCCACACTTTGGTGCTGGGTTGAACAAAAAACATGATAACATACACTAACACGGTACCTCTATTTTAAGGGTGAGAACCTTGAGGCTCTCTCTGCTTAGCTCAATTTATCCAGTTCAAAAATACATTTTAAAGTTAATGTGGTTTTGTTGCACCCTTCTGGGCATGTGAAGTTTGGTCAGTTCACTTTGTTTTGGTCTCCAGATTAGTAAATTTGAGGATGTTTCCAAACTAGATCAGAGTACACTCCACAGCTACACTTCCTTGCTTCCCAAGAAGCCATCAGCATCCCCTTTGCATTTCTCAAGGCCATGGCCAGGGCAAGTGAAGAGGGATCCTGGAGAAGATGGAAAAACGTTCTCTACAAGATTGTACATGGCCAATGAGGTAAGGCTGCTTGCTGCCAAGGTTCACCATCAGAGTTTGAGCTCTGGGACCCAAAGGATGGAAGTAGAGGACCAGTTCTTACAGGCTATCTTCTGACATCTACATAGGAGTGACAGCACATGAGTACCCACCCAGCACACACAAAATAAATAAATGTAGAAAGAAAGAAACTGTCTATTGTCTGTCTGATTTAGAAACTGCATTTCTGCAGATAGTAGCCCTCTTGAGAAATCCAACTTTTAGAAAGAGGCTAGGACAAACCATTTGCCTGCCTTCAATCACTGAGCTAACAACCCATACCCTCCCTTGACTGTTCTCAGAATTGGCCATTGTGAACGACGGCTAGATGGTATTTTCTTGGGAAGGCAGCCATCCTGTGGCCCCATAAAATCTTCAAGGCGTGGCCATTGGACAATTCTGAGTTCACAACCAGGCTGGGTAACCATGTGGGCAACCTCCCATCTGCCAGGCACAGGGTACCATGGATGTAGGTCAGATGCTGTGAGGTCAGAAGGAGGATGTGGGGAAGGATAAAGATTAGTTTCCCCCTGACACCAACCGTGCGGCTAACGCCACCTCTTCCAGTTACCGTCCAACTTACGTTTCACGTACAGGCGGCCTATCACCTTGGCAGTGCCGTATCTGTTGGATACTTCACACACGTAGCTGCCTGAGTCCGAGGGGCGGCTGTTCTCGATGAGCAGTCCCGTCACTGTCTTCTGGAACCTCCCAGAAAGTTCCAGGGGCATGTTGTCCTTCAGCCAGCGGTAGTCTGGCTCGGGGTGCCCAAGCGCTTTGCAGGGCAGCTCCACACGCTGCCCCGCCATGGCTTTGCGGTGGTCAAACCCATCCAGGATGGATGGGGCTGAGTTCGCTGGGTCTGCAGAAGAAAAACGTAACTGTCAAAGGCCAAGGGCAGGGAGTATGAGTGGCTCCTGAGGACCACATATGGGCGTTCACACAGCGTTCCTGCACCTCCTGCCTACCGTGGCCACAGATCTCTAAAACAGACAGACAGATCTGTTCTGTTCATAACTCAGGAAAGTCTGAACCCTGGCCAGAGCTCTGGCTGCTGATTCTTGCTTTGTAGAACTACCTGGAGTTAGCGTGTTCTGGCAGGAGTTGCCAGCTCAGCCAAGAAGGAGATTATCTTATGGTAATGGAACAATCACTCAGCTCCTCTCAATAATAGCAAAGAGAGCTGACAAATAGGAAAATTCGTTTCATAGGCTAAAGGGGTTTATTATAACATTTCTTTATTCATTTTAGATGCTTTAGACTTATTTACTTTGGGTTAGCAGTATCAACTGTACATACTATAGGGGTTTGATAACATATTTCAATACATGCATGCAGTTGGTACTGACCAAATCCAAGGCCCTTTCCATCTTCTAGATAGCACTAGTCTATGTTCAGCTTGATTTTGTGTCTAAGGGCCACATATGGATGGGAACCTGAGGAACTTGCCTTTCTCTGCCTGCCCTGTTTTACTTAGTGTCACAGCCCCACTTTTGTCCATGGGGCTAAAAATAATGGGATTTAATCTCTCTCCATAGCTTAAGAACAAACAATGTGCTATGTGGTCAAACTTCCAGTAGAAAGCACCTAGGCAGACTACACATGGATGTGGGACGATGACGCTCAAGTTGCAATGAGTCTCCAGGGTCTCAGGGATGCCAGGAAGGTGGGAGTTCTTTCTAGTGAAGCTGCAGGTGCTGGATTGAACTGGCCCTGGGAGGAGGTCGTGCTTAATGCAGGAGGCTATGACACCAGAGTTGTGCAAGACTGAGCTCTCACCGTGATACCGTCTGTGCCCTGGATACAGGCCATGGAACCACAGGGTTTGGTGTTTGCCATACTGGAATTTGGATGTTTTTGGTCCAGTCTTTCATTGCTAGTCCCTGTCTTTCCCTTTTGAGGTAAAATACTTAGAGGCTCACAGTTAAGAGAGCTTTCCAAGCTTTTCTTTAAAACGTTGGTATAAATCTCTAAGCTCTCATGACTCCTTTACCTGAAAAAAGTAGGGCCGACACCGTGTCATGCTGCCCACCTAAGGAGCAGCCATGGACACTGTCCACAGCATCCTCTGAGTGCCGAGGTGACTGACCTGAAAAGAACACTTCCCTAGCTTTGTCCCAGCAGGGCTTTTGTGTCTAGTACAGCTGGAAGCAGACTGGGATTGGCTTTATCTCTCAAAGAGAAGCAAAACATACAAATATAGTAAGAAAAGGGCATGGAGCATGCTTCCAAAACCGAAAATCATTTCGGTCTAAAGAATGTATAATCTTCCCAACTGCAAAATGAGTTGAAATATTTGTGTTTGTATTGCTATATGGACGCTGGCTTAAAAGACATGATCTATAAAACAAATTGAGGCAAAAGCTGAAGGTTCCCACTGAGTCACAAATTCTTCCGTTTTGGATAAGACATCAAGAACTGACTGAGCGGCAGTACAAAGACATATGCTTCCCCGAGACGGCGCTCTCACCTGATAGGAACAGTCTCGCGCTGTTACTTTGTCTCGTCTCCCCTGTGTACCCCGAGACCGCGCTCTCACCTGATAGGAACAGTCTCGCGCTGTTACTTTGTCTCGTCTCCCCTGTGTACCCCGAGACCGCGCTCTCACCTGATAGGAACCGTCTCGCGCTGTTACTTTGTCTCGTCTCCCCTGTGTACCCCGAGACCGCGCTCTCACCTGATACGAACAGTCTCGCGCTGTTACTTTGTCTCGTCTCCCCTGTGTATCTGTGCCGCGTGATACAGCGGTAGTTGTACAGCCCGTCTTCGTTCTGTACATCTTTAATATACAAGGCTCCCGTGGATGTGATGAGAAATCTAGATCCTGAAACAGAAAGAAGAAATGACTTTGTGAAAACAGGGTAGGGTAGGAACAGACCCATAACAACTCAGCATTAAACCTGTAGGTGAGTGTGTCTCTCCGCCCTCAACAGAAAAGCTTCATTACACAGTAGACATGGGTAACATAGCGGTACACAGCTGGTCTAGCTGCAGAGAACGAGATTTCAGAATGTTCATCCCTAAATGAAACACATATTCCTTACCCCACCCCGGCTGCTCAGGGATCTTGCAGAAGAGGGGGCAGAGAGACATCATCTAAGAGCCAAAGGCAGTGGATGACTACAAGCATGGCCACCAGGTCAAAGTTCAACTCTGTGTATTTAGTGTTTGAGGGTGTCTGGTTCTTTTTCAGCTAGTTGAAATAACAAATCTAAAAACTGACAGTTCCTGTTTTCATCTCAGGAAGGAGGATTTGTGCTCGGCTCCCCTGCTCCATATCCTGGATGTGGTCTCTTTCCCATTTGTGTGATCAGATTGCAGACTGACTCTGACATCAAATACCAGGACTTTCAGAAAGGTGAGATTTCTTTCCTTTTGAAAATACAGATTCCATAGCCAGGTGGTGGTGGTGCACATGTTTAATCCCAGCATTCCAGTGATAGAGGCAGGCGGATCATTGTGAGTTTGAGGCCAGTCTGGAGCTAGTTCCAGGACAGGCTCCAAAGCTACACAGAGAACCCCTGTCTTGAAAAACAAAAACAAACAAAGAATGTACAGACTCCTAAATTCATAGAATAAAAATATAAAGTTCTGAAAGGTTCTAAACACATCACACTGTTCATTAAATACAGCAAAATAAATAAAGAGAATAAAACTAAAGATACTTGCTTTCCTGACATTAGTTAAACAAGTAAAGTATAGACATTGCCCTTGTCATAAAGTCCCTGTCATCTGCTGGAGGGTGGCCCAGGCCACTTTTGTCACTGCTAGGGTTGTCTGTGGAAGATTTCTACATGGGATCTGATTCCACCTGAACGGTAACGTGATTTGTCTCTAGAAAAAGACTAGAATGCAAAAATATCTTCTTTTATTTCTGTCTGTCTGAGTTCAGCTGAAAGCTTCTGTGGTTTACTGTTGTAGGATTATCAGGTCTTGTCTGTGTGCGTGTGTGTTCATATCTGTGCAGGTGCACGTTCATCTTCGTATCTGTGTCCACTCGGATGTGTGTGCACATTCATGTGTGTGGCGTGTGTACATACATCTCCATGTCTGTTCATGTTCATGTCTGTGCAGGTATACATGCATCTTCATATCTGTGTACATTCACATGTGTGACAAGTGTACATGTATCTCCACGTCGGTTCATGTTCATGTCTGTGCAGGTGTACACACATCTTCATATTTGTGCAATTCATGTGTGTGGCAAGTGTACTAAAATCTTCCTGTCTGTGCATGTTCATGTCTGTGCAGGTGTACACACATCTTCATGTCTGTGCAATTCATGTATGTGGTAGGTGTACAAGCATCTTCCTGTCTGTGCATGTTCATGTCTGTGCAGGTGTACACACATCTTCATGTCTGTGCAATTCATGTGTGTGGCAGGTGTACAAGCATCTTCCTGTCTGTGCATGTTCATGTGTGTACCTGCATAAGTGAGTTCACATGTATCTGGAGGCTGGATAGTATTGTCTTTCTTAAGAGATGTGATGACTAATCTTGAATATCAAATCAAATTGATCTGGAATCAATCAAAAGCAAGGCACTTGGGATTTTCCTTATCAGATTATTTGAAACGGGAAGATACACAGTATCTTGTACCCAGATGAAAGGACACAGAACAAAAAAAGTTCCCGTTGTTCTCACTCTTTTTAGCAAGCTCATCTATCCTATTGTTGCTGTATCTGTTTGCTAATATTAGAAGCAGCTTCTTTGGGCTCAGGCCACTGTGAGTGATGCCATCCCTTGACAGGAGAGCCTAGGCTGTTTAAGAAAGGTAGAGGGTGAGCATGGGAGCAAGCTAGTAGGCAGCATTCCTTTGATTTTCTGTCCCAGGCTCCTGCCTTGAGTTCCCTCCTTGACTTCCGTCCATAGACTGTAAGCTATAAGCTAGAATAAATGCTTTCTTCACTGAGTTGCTTTTGGTCATGGTATTTACTGCCACAGAAAACAAGCTAAAACAAGGGCTGTTTATTAAATATACACATTTTTGTGATATTGTCTCTCTCATTAACTTGGAGCTTACCAATTTAGCTAGACTGTCTGGCCAGTAAGAATCTACCTGTCTCTATCTCTACATTGTTGGGATTATAAGCATATGTCCCTACTCCTGGTTTCTTTGATCTGGGTTATTCTCACAAGGTATTTTACAGACTGAATGATCTTCAGTTCCAGTTTCACTGATTTGAGGTCTCGTTTTTTTTTTTTCTGCTGCAGGCACTATTCTCTCATAATTCCTGTCTTATAAAGACCTCAAATTATTCATAAGTGAGTTGCACTGATAAAATGGAAATAGCATAAATTCTTAGATAAAAGCAATTCAAAATCACAGACATGAAAAAGATAAATAAAGACAAATCCTGCTTTAGCATAACTTAAAATTACTGAAAGGAATTTAAATAATTAAGTAATATTTAAATTAATTTGGAGATTATCCTATCAAGTCATTCATTTTAAAATAGGAAAATATGATTACTGATAGAAACCTTAAAAAATTTCCTTCAAGTTCTGTACTGTCTAGATAATTTTGTTTTATCTTTTCCTCAAAAGAAAGCAATGAGAAATCTTTTACCTCGGGGTGTAGGTCTGTATTCATGTTGCTTTCATTGGTTATTAAAGAAACTGCCTTGGCCTAGTTGATAGGGTGGAACTTAGATAGGCGGTGTAGACAGAACTGAATGCTGGGAAGAAGGGCAGAGTGGCAGACGCCATGAAGCTCCTGCCTGAGACTGACGCTGGTTAGAATCTTTCCCAGTAAGCCACGACCGCACGGTGTTACACAGATTGGTAGAAATGGGCTGAATTAAGATGTTAGAGTTGGCCAATGGGAAATTAGAGCTAATTGGCCAGGCAGCAATTTAATTAATACAATTTCTGTGTGATTATTTCAGGTGTAAGCTAGTGGGCCAGCCCAGACAAACAAAGGGCCCTACTCCCTACTACAACCTTGTAGTATGTGTCTCATACTACGAGCATGTCTTATTAATATACACAGCGTGGAACAGAAACATGTTTTCTTTTTCAACATATTTTACATGGTTATATAATACTTCAGTAAACCCTTCTTTTGAAGTACAGTGACAGACAAGAAGGACTGAAAGGAAACATGTGCGGAGTCTGTCCTTTTCTGAGCATGGAGCGTTTCCCTGACAACTGGCAGGGCATCATCTGGGAAGGCCTAAGTGGATGGCCATCTGTGATGGCTCTTTACCAGGGCAGGAGGGAACCCATGGAGGCAGTGCAAACGCTGTTCTGGTCCTGGGTATACTTGCTCTGCGCTGCTAACTTGGCACATGAAGAAGAATCATAAGACATTATTTCAGAAGAACTGGAATCTTCTACTTTTGTGAAAACTTTCTGAGAAGTTCAGAGAATGGAGAAAGAGCTGACCTAGCCCATCTCCGATGGCCTCTCTTTTGTCATTGGCCACTGAATTCCATCTTGAAACTGATCGATGTTTTAAAACTGAAAACAAGGTAGAAGAATATAGGGTTTTCATCATCAGAGAGCATGAAAGTCCATGGCTCCTGGGTCATCTCATCTCTAAGGTGTGCGGAACCTGCTGGGGACAATAGAAATTGAGCAAAGCCCTATGATGCACTTCCTCAATGGTGTTAAGGACCCCTCCATTGTCCCCTTGCTTTCTGCTGCATCCTACCAGCTGCTTTACACCACAGGCTCTTGAGTCATGTGTAAAAGATGGCTTTTATCATACTTTTACATAGGTTATAACTTCTTTGAGATAAACAAAAATGCAAGCAGGGATTATTAGAGTCAATAAACTATGACCCCCCCCCCACATACACACATCTTGACTCTTGAGAAATGCCTGATAACACATTGCCCAAAAGCAAATTTTACAGTTAACATTATTTTTTGGTATATGATACAGGGAGAGGCTATAGAGTTTTAAATGGAAATAATTCTTAGCTACAGTTTGAAATTTTTGGCATGTCAGGCACTCAGCAAACCAGAGTCACCAGGATAATGGTGGTAAGTGGTTTATGACTTTGAGGTTGTCACTGTGAACATGGTTGATGGCTGGGCTGTACTATTCTGGCATCACAGGATGTCTGAGAAACATCCTTGGCTTCTCAACACATACTAAGTGGTCCCTGCGTTCTTAAGTGCGTAATCCCCTGGGCCATTGCTTTTCTGCTTCTTGCTTCTCTGACTGCTGCCTGTTACTGTTGCCTGGGTTACCGCTATCCCTGTCCTCACACTTGTGTGATGTATTTTAGTGGCCAGAGTGAAGGAACAGGTGCATAGTTGAGACTCTAAATAGGCTGCAGGCCGTTCTTGGGCCAACCTGCAGCCACTTAATGTGAGCATTATTCTAGGGCCACTAAAATAAGTATGAGGCCAAGCCCTAGTCCAGTCGGCCTTCCTGGAGGCACCAAATGGGTAAGTGGGGCATTCCTATATAGAGATACATACAACAGAAAATGGACATTTGCATAGTGGTGACACTGCAGGACCCCTTAGGTTGAGGGTTCTACAGCCATGTGTCTCACTATTGTGGTGTAGAGGGGTGGAAAGACCACAGGACAATCCTTTCTGAAGCTAAGCCATGGTCCAGTTGCACAAAAGGCACAGATTAAAACAGCAGATGCTCAATGGCTCTGTTTTGATGTAGTACAGGTGGTAGAAAACCTCAGGTTTAACAGTGGAGCTGCAAAGCTGTTGTGTGTTGAGCTGATTATCAATGCTCCTGGTGCTGTGTATGTGTGAGCAGGTAACAGGGCCCAGGAACATGCTCATCCCTCAGGCTAGCAACCCTCTGAGCTCCAGGAATGCAAACTGGCATAAGATAAAGCCATATCATCA